TGTTACATTACTCCATTGTCAGTACATCTTTATTTTTTTAATCCGTAACTAAACTCGATAGACATATTTATACATATCTATTTGTAGATTGAGCTTGCCTGACCTCTCGTTCTAGGACGATGATTTTTAACTGGCTTTAAAGGTAACCCGGTCCAATAAAAGTATTACTTGTATCGTCATATTCTTGATCGACTAAGACGTCGATGTATTCTCCATTTAAAAGTATCCAAATCCTCATCAGCTTATAATGACAAGGTCAGCTGCGACCCTTTCACCCATACTAAATTTCATTGCTAAACGTGTCCTTTGTTTGCCTTTGCAGAGTCATCGCAGTACAGTGGACAGGCGCCGTGAAATTCTGAATAAGCAAGCAATTCGGACCGGAACGCACAGCGGGGGCCGATGTTTCTCTACCTATTAATATTAGTGAAACAGAACAGGTTTCCCAGATTACCATAATTTGCTTCGATGCATTTGAATAATGAGAACGTGTTCCCTCGGTTTCTCCGCTCAGCCTTTGTATATCTATCAAAATTATTCAATTGTGAAACGTATTATCACTTGATATAATATAGGATAAGAGCATTTGTATCGATTTCTGCGTATACGGAGGGTTTATATAACTTAGGTCAACTCTCAGACTGAAGTGATGTTGGTAGGTATTGTTTCATATTTTTATATGTTTAAAATACACTTTTATTTCGACTTAACAATAATTCTATTTTGTAGTTTTTAAAACTGTAATTTATCTATAAACCTTAAGCCACTTTCAGTTACACATGAACTAGAAACATACTTAATTATCATATTATGTGTATAGGATTTCGCAAATGGTTTATTAAGAAAAAGTGATAACCTGCTTTTTCAGAACGAACTATGATAAAGTTCACAAAAACGTGCCATGAAGCGTAATTGTAAGTGTAAGACTAATCAGAAACGAAACCAAAACCTTAGATACCAAGATCTCATGCTCTACAGCTGTTTGCGGTCATTCGACCAACGAGATAGACTACAACCCTACCAAGTCAAACTAATTTTATCCGTATGGCCCATGTCACAAGATTCAAAACCTTGTTGACACTGTTACAGAATTAAGAGATCTTTGGTGCACATTTAATATAGAAGTACACGTAACCTCTAATCTCGCAAGTACATCAAAAACATATTTAATTATAACATTGATATTTCAAATTCTGAATAACTTACTTCAACTTAATGTCATAAATGCAAAGCTCTATATGAGTTTAATGTAGGTACTTTAATTGAATAACTGTTCTGAGAAGCTCACAATATTCCTATAAGTAGTTCCTCCTACTTCTAGATACATACAACAAATATTTCCGGGATTATAATAAAAGTGCGACTATAGACTATAAGTGCGTTATATTATAATAATTTCAATTTGAGCAGGTCTCGTGACTGGTGGCGTGTAGTAAGGACGTCGCGCTGGAAGGAAGGGGTTATTGTGATATTGCGGCGTCTCATATTGCCGGCGAGATTTATGTGCGGGCATCGAGCGCGTGCCGGCTCGCCTGCGTCGCGCCGTCGTCCCGCGCCCGTGTCGCACCACGGTCCCAACGATCACGATACGACATCTCTACCCTTCCCTATACCTTTAATACATGGAAATTCGAATTTCCTTACTCCGTATTAATAAGTGGCTGTGAACATTTTGACGTGAGAGTGGATCTCGAAGCTTAAGCTTGTTTGATCTGTTTTTGTTGTAACCGTCCGTTTAATACATAACAGTTCTTTGATGTTCTCTATGAGCACAATGTTACGTGCGCGTAGAGAGTAGGTAGTTATAGTAATTTGATTCAACTAAAACAGTTTCAAACTCATTTGTGGAACGAAAACCCAAAGAACTGTTACAAATGGGTACTAAACATTGTATTATTGCAGTGTTCAGTTGGCAACCATTGCGACTGTATAATTCAAACTAAAAACTCAATTTGAATTCTATGTAAACAAGTTTCTGGTTTTCCAAACATATTCACATAAAATCATAATAAGCAAACTTTATCAATAGAGTAGAGAAACTATCATCGAAAACTAGACATTTGAAGTCGTTATTGTTTCAATAGACTAAAAACCAATATAATAAAATGATAGTTGACAGTAATAGTCGGAGAAATAAAGTTAAACAGTAGGGTCCAATTTTACTCATATTACAGTCACCAGCCAAACCTAGAACATGTATTTTTAAAGCAGGTTTTCGAGCAGATAAGTAACAAGGAGTTTGCCCACCCTTCTACAACTTTATCCAAGTTGTAGTTGGTTGATAAGCAAAATATAAACGCAAGTTGAGTATAATAAAAGTTTAATTGCGAAAGTTGTTTATAGTGTGCAGACGGCTAGGCGACTCCTGCGATGGTCCCGGAGACCCGCTCTGTACTCCGTCAGACAATAACTAACAGTTCCTTAACTTGCTTATTCAATTTCGATTCAATAACTATCGATTCCTACGTGTAGGAACTTTATAAACTTCCTCCGACTGAAATGTTTGTGAAAACAAAATATAATCTTCGTTTAACTATTAATGGAGCATCAAAACATGTGGTAATGTTATTAAGTAGATATTAATTTCTGTTCAATGTTTTAAGATTGCTTTTGACTTCAAAAGCACTTGTTGACAAATTAATTACCTCTACAACAAGGACGTTGAAGCAAAGGCGGACACAATCTCTTGAAACAACTGTAGCCCTTAGTTACTATAGACTAACACGCAGAACATACACACATTAACACGAAGGATATCTGTCATTTTCTAAAGTCTGGTAACCCATTACACGCGCAAACATAAATATATCACTAATATTTTGGTGCTTTCTTAATTTCTAAGTGACATTATGCAGTCCTTGCTTCACAATATATTATATTAAATACTAGCTTTTACCCGCGGCTTCGCTCGCGTCACAAAAGGATAAAAAGTAGCCTATATAACATATACCAATACATACAGCGCCATCTATACCAATACTTTTGTTTTCCCTCGGGAATATCAAATTTTTTCGGGATAATAAGTACCCTATTATTTAATCCAGACTACTAACTTTACGTCTGCAAAAATTCAATGCAATCGGTTTAGTAGTTACGGCGTGAAGTCGGAACAAACAAATAAACAAACAAACTCACTTTCCGATTTATAATATTAGTAAGGATAGTAAGGATTATATATAAACCGTGCTGTACCAGTATCTATTATCTATCTGTACACCTTTATATCTATGTAACCAAAGAAATAAGAAAAATATATCACAAGTTTAGGTTTAAAATTGTCCATATTTTGACTGTTTTGTTTTGAAATCTAACCGGCACATGATTTTGTGGTAGTAAGTTAATCCTGCGGGGAACTTTAATTCTCCGGTAAAGAGGAACTAACGTTATTTAGAGAAATGCAACATGCACATACAATATTTTATTTTGAATACCCTTAAGTACCTATCCAGATTATGTATACCTATTGAAAGTTCAGAGGTTGGTCAGGTCTCGTCTCGCGTTTATTTTTATTTTAGCTATAGATACATTTGATTCATGGCTAAACGTACGGATGATTTTAATTTCATAGAGGCTTTATTTAGATGATACTGGTAATTGGAAAAATATGTTTGCGCTTTTCAGTTGTTAATTCCTAGGCTTTGACGCAGAATGACTATTTGCAGATTTCGTATTTATAACGATACATTTTTCATTATGTCGGTATTGAAATATATCACACCAGTAGTGCTGAGGTGTTAAGAAGTAGATAAATCGAGGCATTGTTGAGCTACAATTTAACAATGACTACCTAATTATTTTTAAAGAATAGTGATCTAAACTTAATACTGAATAAATGATTTGTCTAATAAAAGTACTGAAAATATCTACGACGAGAACAAAGAGCATTTAAGGAATCCTGCAAAAGTAATCCTGGTGGAGATTACCAGCGGGATCGTGGTTCAAGGCAATGAAATCTGTGCAGATTTATGTGTGGCGGTGCGTTACCGGTTAGCGGTTACAGGAGGGCTCCTCGTCCTCCCGTGGACCCGGTGGCGGTGGCCGGGTTTATCTTGTTTACGGGAGCGGTCGCCGCCAGCCGTGTCGTCGCGTCGCCCACAACCAATATCGCACCCGCCGACATGTTGTGCACGTTGAAAACTTGCTACTTTGTTATCCTTGTTTATTCGACACTATCTGTATAGCTACTTCATGCTATGAAAGAATTGAGAAACTGTATTGCCGTGTGATTGCGTACGTCTTGCGACTTTGTTTATTTTATCTAGATTCCAGAGTTTACTCGTATATTTACACTATGTTTTAGTAGTGTTTCAAATATTAACTAAACGTTCAAGGGAAACATGCTCTACAAGGTAGTCATTATAGGGAAAATATAACATAAATACAACAATAGGTGCCTAACTAAACAAACGAGCGGCCCTTGTTTAACACTTACTGCGTTAGCGGTCGCATTAAGCTAATGTTTATTTGGAACATGAAGCTTATCTAGTCTTCTCAAATGGCACTAAAATTGTTGGTTGCAAGGTAGTTAACCCTTGCGCGGGCCGGCGAGGCGACGGCGAGCGCCGAGTGAGGGGCGCGGGTCGCGGTCGCCGTAAGCCCCGCAATAGATAAAACAGTGATAGAACATGCACCGCGCCGCCGGTATGAATAATTCATTAGTTTCAGTTGCCACTTTTGTTGGTATCGGTGGATTTTCAGCGCTTCACACCGTCAAAAATATGCGTTGAGGGTCTGGTTATTGTTAGACTCTACTCTTTACCGTCTCGTTCATTTTAAATGTGTCTTGTCGCGGAGAGACGTTTTATGAATTATTTACAGAATAATAAATTTTATGTTACGTAAAGCCAAGTTGCTGCTACTCGGTGTAAAGATTTGCCACAAATGCTCGATCTATTAAAGAATAAGTTTAATGACTACATTCTGGCAGGTTGACATCATGACTTCTCCTGTTATGTAGTGACTATTGAATTAGATGTTGAATCCTTAAGGTTGTACTAAATATGTTACATATAGACGAGACAAAAGTCAAAGGTTCTGGACGAAAGCTGCTAACGAAAGCGAGCCGAGGCGTCGCGGCCGTGTCCTCTAGCCACCCCTGCGAATCCCGTTATAATTTACGATCATCCCGAAAAATCCCGGGATTATTTTTATTCGATAACGATAAAGGTGCCGCAGAGGGTTACCTTTATTATCACTCAGTGCGGGACGACTCTTTTACAACTTTACACATGTTTGTAACGTCGAAATGGACTGACTCTTATGTCACACTTTTGTGCTATGCTTTTAAAGCTGTTTTATAAACATTCGGTACGTGTGTGCTGTGACAGAAATATTAAAGTAGGGAAAGTGAGGGCACGTGCTTCTTCTAGTTCGAGTATTATGTAGACGAGTGTTTTATTTTATTGTTTAACTCTTACAGAGACTTTATTTTTCCACATAGAGCTTCTAAGTCAACTCTAAAGTTGTTGATTGTTTTTCACACAGTATATTTATGATTGCGGTGTATTTTTGAATTGCACGTTTGATCCACGATCTGCGCAACTAAATATTTGGAACACGTGTATGTGGTAGTTTTGATAACGGGTGCAATGTGCATTGTGTATTTGACATTTCAAATACACGAATAGCTATTTTTCAATAACCAATTGAGATTTAATTTAGAAATGTAACTCCATATCAATCGTATTTTCGAAACAAAGTAACTATGTAATAACTAGAAAAGCAAGATATTTATGAATTATGCCGAAGCATAGTTTTTCGGTTCTGCTGATCAGTTGCGTTATGATAAAAGTAAAAGAAAAGTAAAAGAAATTTATTATCTAAAGATATCTATTAATCTATCTATCTAATTGATTTATTTAGCTTGTGTGTGTTTTAATTAAGTAAATAGGTCATACGAGAAAACTGACGATCTTTGAGTCCTATGGTATGGTATGGCAGTACTTAACTTGTTGGAACAATAAAGTAACAACAAATTCATATTTATGTTTTTGTATTTATAGAAACCCAAAATAATATGAAAAGTAGGTCAAATTTTATAAGCGTACGCATGTATCTTGTCTGACAGTCCGTCCACGTTGGCGATCGAGACGGGCGAGGGACGTAGGATTAGACGCGGCCGAAAGTGATCCGTTATAATTTGGAGGGTGGACAGTGACGGCTGGTACGCACAGATTAGCCCCTTCGATAAACAATAGCATTAGTATGCGAGGACGCACTGACCGCCGATCAGCCCAGCCGTGCTCGGATTAATTTGCCTCCTGAAAATTATGGAGGCTCTATGTGGACCGAAACGATCACCGACCCGGAGAATATTGCTTTGTTTTCACTTGTACGCCGGCTGAATTTCTCTTCAATCAGAATGTGGCCATAGTGCGCTGCTTTCCGTTCCGTATCAGTATCATTGTTTGTGCAGGTTATTAATCTTCTTAGCTTTTAAATCCTTGCTATGTTATCTATAATGTCTGTGACTCGAATCAGTACCAAAATAAAATGAATCATGTAAAATTCTTAGTATCTACTATTCAAATAAAGTTATTTAAAACCCTCAGCCCAACTTTGCAGATAAGAATTCTAAAAGTTTTATCACAAACTGATCTTTTTGTAATCCAGTTATTTGGAGCCCAAAACGTTTGAGTGTTTGATTGATCACTATAAAAACAAAGAAAACAGAATCTCGAAACAAATACAAACAAATGTAATAAGAATACAATTAGCAGTTTTATACTTCGCATCAACAAGAAACAAAACTCCCAGGGCTCGGGAACATAATTAGCGAAGTGAACAACATAACTACTCTATTCGTAAAACCTCCAAGTAGAAGCCAATGAAAAGTGAACCTCTTAATTTGGGGTGCTTTTAGTGAATAGCAATAAGCGTTAATTTTATTTGTACGCCCTGCGATATCCGGTTTCGACGGAAGCACACGCCTACTGCGCCGTCGCTAAGTAATGAGGCTACTGTTACAAACACTGCACTCTAGATGAAAGGCTATAAATTATCACACGATGCACAGTGCAATTTGGACTTTATGTTAACACACCAAAGTTTTTTATCTCTTGGCTGAACTTATGTCCTGTACAAGTATCAGCTGACTATTTTATAATTGAAAATCGACAAGATTCATTTTGTGATCACTACGTGCTACACGAAGAGCTAAATTATTACCTAAATAAGTTGGCAACGTTTGTAATGTCAGATGTTCAATTAATTCATGATTTCATTAATGGTACTGAAGAGTAGCCATTATTTATATGCGCGTCGTGTAGACGTATGTGGTATAAACAAAAACTCAACATTGACATGTGAAGAGGAAGTTGCTACGAGAACTCGTAGCGGCGTAGCACCTAATTTAATTTTCCGTTATACAGCGCGTTATAATCATTGTTAAGGATACCCAGTAAAATACTGTATTGTGTGTATTTGTACGAGTGTCAGGAACAATTCATTCATCCGACATTTTTCACTCATTCATTATCCTGTAATATAATAAACCTTGTGTATTGGCAATAAATCACTTGTGATGTTTATTATAATTTGAAACTTACGGGATTGTTGTTATTGGATAACGCTATATGGGACCAAAACCTTGAGGATCAGATTATTTGTCCCTAACCTGTCAATAACATGTGAATAATATGTTATTACATTTCAATACTCTTATTGTTGATCTGCATAAAGTGATACAAAGACTCAACACAGTGAAATTATTCAAGACTTCGCTTATTTATGAATCACGGCGTTGTGTTTATATTTACGATGTATCAGTATTCTCAAAGTGTGGGAAGATATCAGAGCGTACACAATTTACGAACTCAACAAACTTAAAGCCTTATAAATCAAAAGCTAATTTTCTCCAGGATTTGGAAGTCGAAAGCGATGCGTACAGTAATGTGTTCTTTATATCAAAAACACATTTAAAAGAAGTTAGATTGGCTTACACAAGTTGGCGTTCGGCCATACGTAGTTGGAGCCTTTTCGGCGCCTCAAAGCCGGCCCTAATCTTCAAAGATTCGCCGCAGATTGTTTGCAAGCATTTTGGTCCATCAAAATATGACGGGGAAACTTTGGCTTCGTAGATTATTTTGACATTCGCAGTAGCGAAAAATGTAATTGGATGGCTGAAGAATTTGTTGCGGTATTTAATATAAAATTCAACTTTGTAAACTTTATTTTCGATTTGTCTGTTTATGTCCAGGGGAGGTGTAATGGATTTAGCGTATAATTAAAAGATGTGCGTTTAAAACAAGCTTTATTTAGTTTGTTACCTACTCACTCTTAGTCGTTACGTGTAGTTACGTAGTATGGGTACAATCGTCCGCCGCGCAGTGACCGCTATGAACACTCATTACACATTCTGTTATTAAAAACACACTCAGTGGCTTCGCTTAATGAATATATTTACAACATTTCTATCTATGTGGCGATATCTTATATTTAGCAATTTGGCAACATGATAATGGTAACATTTACATATACATATATATAAGTATGTCACTATATAAACTAGGTGTAATTGACAGAAGAAATTTGGATTTGTAAAACACCTATAAAAGAAAAAATTAAATAAAACTTTAATTAGGTCAATAAATAAAGCTAAAAATCCAAAAGTGGTGTCACAAATACAAAAACATCGGGGATATTAAAATGTAAAGTTCTAGAGTAGCAGAAAATACATTCATATGAAATATAAGTCACGCATCACAAGTTTTCATTACCTCAAATTGAAAATATAGTGGAAGGCAGGCAGGAGTCACATTAGGAATACAAATTGGATCTACACCACTACGGCACGATGATGCAGGAAACAATACATAAAATATATGTCCAATTTAGAAATTTCGTCAATTCAGTAATATTTTTATCACAGCGAACATGAGGTTTACATAAGCACAATAAAATAATACAATTTAAATACCCTCTAAAGACACAATTTTATAATTCATTCAGTCTTACTCTATCTAATTCTTATAATCTTATAATAAAATCAATAACTATGATAATAGTGCACTTTGTATTATATATTAATAATATTACGTGTGCAGTGAATTTGTCTATTACATACTTTTCACGGCTGAGCAGACTTTTATTACTATTGGTGAAAATAAATGATTTTAAACATGTACAGCGTCACTTTTAATTCTATGTTATAGGTAAAATTTTGAATTTAAAGTTATTTACCGTTTTTTTGCTCCGTAATATAAAATAATTATACTTAGAACACGACATTCCATATTTTTTTTATTATTCCGATAAAATATTTCTTCGAATATTTACTTACAGTACCCAACGACCCAAACACTTTTATAACTTCTCTAAACACCACGTGCCTAAAATTATATGACTAATTCATATGTTTTTAAATCAATTGTATATAGTAAACAATATATACTTTTATAATAAAACTATTACATTAACTTTAATTTTATAAATACATTTCTTTAAAACAATTTAATTAGCAACATTTTCGTATAATGACCTCATCTTATTAAAAGCAGAGGATCGTGCAAACTCTGTATACAACGATGCACATCGAGTTAAAAGTCACCCTGTACATATATCTGCTGAGCCGTGAAACAAGTTCAAGGAACTGTCGTACATACAATACCTTTAGTTTATATAATTAACAACAACGCTTATAATAATTATGAATATCATTTTGGTTATGAAACGTAAACCTCTTACTCTATTGTACATAACGACGGCGATGTGACTACGATTTAATATTCGTTTTTTATTCTAATTTACCTGTTTTCGAGGACAATAAATTCATAAGTATTACTTACATATGAGTTAGTTAAAATGTAACGGATAGCTGTTTTTATTGGTCGAAGCTCTAAGCTCAGTTACGTTTTTGTTATTCGATTACAAAACACGTTAATAGCTGTTTCATGGTAAACTCATTTTGATTATTCATTATCATCATATCAAATGTCATTTTAATGTGATTTTTGATGATAATTTCCTTAATGAACGTTGTAGAGATGGGACTGTAAGTTTGGGCTAAGATTTTTAACTATTTTTTTCTAGAATTATTTATTTGTAACTTGTGTATCCAGACAAGTTCCGTGTCCTTTCGGTTCACCGTAACGAAGTAATTGATTTGACGATCCAATCAACTTCATTCACAATTAAGTGTGGGAGAGCCATGCTTCGGCACGAATGGGCCGGCTCGACCGGAGTGATACCACGGCCTCACAGAAAACCGACGTGAAACAACGCTTGCGTTGTGTTTCGTCGTGTGAGTGAGGTTACCAGAGGCCCAATTACCCTCCCCTTCCCCAATCTCCCCAATGCCTGAATCCCCAACGATCGTCAAACTCCTAATCCCCAAAAGGCCGGTAACGCACTTGTAATGCCTTTAGTGTTCCAGGTGTTCATAGGCGACGCCGATTGCTTACCATTCGGTGATCCGTCTGCTCGTTTACCGGCTTATACCATAAAAAAACAATGATTCTGTTAAATATCATGTTTTATCTATTGAGATCCTACCACATAGGGGTTTTTTTTTGAGTAACTTAGATACTTTACAACATAAAATATAAACCACGAGAAATTAATTAATATTGACATGAACTAGATTACTTGCATTTTTACTTACTATCCAATCTCTACATTTCAAAAGCAAGTTTCTGCTAAAAGCTCACAGAGTCTAAAACCGTTAAACAGCAACAATAGAACAATGTCACAATAAAACTCAAACATTCATCGCCTGTACACTACATATGATACAAGGTGTCTCAGAAATCAATGCTAGGCCACTAAATTAACGTCAATTGTTGTTGGTTACCAGAAAAATAAAACAGAAATACAAAATAATTGTACACATGAATTATGTAACATTTTTGATAATAGTTTCCAAATATTTGTTGTATGATTCTTGTTTTTTTTTTAACTAATCATAGCCCCGTATGGATCAACAATAAATATATATCGTCCATTATCAGCTTAGCGTTGATTTCTCGGCCACCCTATATGTATACAGGCGAGAATTAACAGATAATACGTTGAATTTATCTCACATGACGTGTACGGAATACGAAAGATAAAAACAATTTCCTTTTAATTTGCACTATCTCGGGCGAGCCAAGCTCGGGTACCTACGTGTGTACATGGACAGTGTTCGAATGAATGATGATGAAGTTACATCATTAAAATATAATATGGCACAGTGATTAGTGACGCTATAACCCATATAGAGCTTCTCCTCCAGTCAGCGTCGCCTGTGAACAAAATGTCTTATTATATATTTTTTTCAGATTAGTAATGACCGCGATTGATGTACCTACATGAATATTCCAATCAGGTAAGTTGATTATAGGGGCTCATAACTTTTAGCAACATTTATGTTTTATTTTGATACCGTAAATATTGAACTAATCAAGTTTACTTTGTTTAAAACTATTTATTTATTAAGTCTACATCATTTTTAATATTATTTGCCTTTAATTAAATTTCCTTTTAAGTCTGATTTACGGTACAATAAAAACCGACCATTTAATTCTTAATATTTAAACATACCTGTAACCTGCGATGCACCTCCCACCCAGTTCAAGTGTGTTTTCCCACCACCTTCATCTGTTTTCTGTTTGCCCTTGTCAATTTCGTTAAGGTTTGATTGATATTTAGTACCTGTATAACATAAAAAAGGTTAATTTAGAAAATATTTACGGTGAAAATGTTTTAATCTCCCTAAAAAGTAAGCTTGCAGAGAAAAAACGAGAACGCGAACTGATTGGGCAAAGGATTCAATATGGCAAGGGACGGGCCGTCGGCAGGCGGTCGGCTAACAGTTATTGAAAAGTTGCGCAATATTGTCGAGTATCCGGGGCCAGCCGTAAATTCGTAATGGTTGCAAAAAATAAAACAGTAACGGGTCCGATGTGGACGGCGCGCCACACCACGCCGCAAAAACAACCAGCCGCAAAACTTACACTCGTGCCGGCGCACCGCTAAATGGGTTTTTCAAGTTCGCGCGAACATGTTCAAATGATATCCCTCGGCTCTTGAGCATCTCATAACTTTCTACAGTTATTGATTATGCATATGTTTGTCTGAAAAATATATGTATCTAGGAACATATTTTATACTATAAGCAGGTAGAACATTATTGGCTTACAGCAACTATATTTTCAATTTATCGTGTTAACAAAGCTTATTAAGAGTTTGCAACAAGGAGGATGGGAACACTTGTCCGTAATAGGTTGGCGCAAGATGTTGTCCGGCAGCGTGGCCGGGAAAATGGCCAACTTCCCAATAACGGGCGAGTAATGACGCGAACCCAACAACTTCTGACACCACGATATTACAATACACGCTACTCGGCAGCTCCTACATCAATGATTCTGAGATTACAAGTTCATATCGCGGCAATATGGAGGGTGGATATTTATCAAAAGTATTTGCAAGTGAATAAAAATATCGATTGGTTTCTTCAATATTTTAAGTTAACATTGGAAAGTAAAAATATAGGAACTTAAAAAATATTATTTGCCATAATTCATTGCTTGAGCTTCCACCTTCATTGTCCTTTAGGGAAACGATAACATCTTTTACAAAATTAGTAACATCTGAACCTGGGCCGTTCTCAACAAATTACGTGACGTCTTCCGAATGTCGTTTATTTATTAAATTAACATCCCAAGAGATACCTGTAGCCTTACAACCATTTTTAAGATGGGTCAGGACGATGTTACATTGATTAAAGATCACGATATTGAACAGACGATACTCCTTACGCCTATTAATTTAGCATAAAGCAATTTTATAATAATTTGATGGGAGTTTACAATAACAGCGCTTCATAAAATGTTTTGTTTATAAACGATTTGGTCATAGTTTACGATGGCTCATAACATTCGGAGCCAGTTAACAAACTACCGGCTGGCGACAAGCAGATCGTCGTAACAGTTTACGATCTATAAACAAATATAACAGCCACTAATAATAACTGAAACAGCAACATACAATGAAAACAAACTGAACGATCTCGTGGGGGATTCAACTCGTAAAGGTAATATTATCTCTTAATAAACGAAATCGTCGACATAAAAATGTTGTTTCGATGCATTTTATTGGCGCCGATATCTGATATTGATAAACTCATTCGACCGCGACGTTTGCTATAGCTGTAATTAATTACTATTCCCACACACGAACATAATAAATTGCTGTACGGGACTGCGTGATACCACCCCGTGGATAATTCTACAAATTATTATATTGCATTTCACGCTTCTTGGCTTGTTGCAATATAATTGATATGATAATATCCCGTAATCAAAAGGAAATTAAAATTCTGATTAAACCATTGTTTGTGAAGTTAATGATATTTTGCAAATAATATTGTTTGATTTGTTTTTAGAATTAAACTGAGATTATTTTTATTCTCAGCTCTAAATATTTCCTACTTCATTTATGTTTGTTATGACTGATGACACTTAAAGCTATGGTGTCGTTACTCACCCTTGTCTGTGAGTGGAGTGTCGCGGCGAGGAGGTCTAGACGGTGGGGGTATGGTCAACGCACGGGGATCCGGTGTGGTCGTCGGTGGTGATGAAGCTATGCAGCAAAATAAATATAGTAAATCCACGTGGTTACATCTATCATTAAGTCTACCTACATAATATAAATTTCAACATCCACAAGCAACACACTTTCTGTTGGTTGTTTAAATCAGTATTTTATAAAGCCAACATCATTCATTGAGTTCTAATTTTAAAAAGTACTTACTATATAAGCGAATGGTACCATCAGACTCGCCCCTCGGATTCTTAGCTATACACTTATATGTACCATAGTCTTCAGTGTTGATATTCCTAATGAGTAGTCTCATGTGAGTCTTATAAGCTGGTATTCCTACAGTATTCTCCATGTGATACTTGGGGCTCTCATGAATCATGTGACCATCATCCCTAGTCCAATAGTTGAGGGAAGTTGGATGGGCTTCTGTGAAGCATTCCAGAGTCACATTGTAGTAAAGCGGTGCACCCACGAGCTGATGAGGAATCCATAACATTGGTGGAACTGAAAAAGAGTACAAATTATAATTCCCAGTGCATTTCTATAAATGAATGTCATCAAAGACTAGTTTAGATCACTTACAATCAACGCTGACTTTGACCCGCTTTGACACTGTTGGCGGCACACCGTTACTAGCAATGCATAAGTAGGCACCCATATCTAACCGGGAAATTCTAGCCATCTCCAACACTTCACCTTCCCACTCGGAAACTGAAAAATAAACCGTTGAATAAGTTGACATAAAAACCGAAGCAAAAACGTATTTCGATCATGAACAAATTCGATGTGTCACCGGAATGTCCCTTGCTGATGGAGATTTTTGAGTTGTCGTCCCGTTTCCACTTGATGGTGGGCTTAGGAGAGCCATTAGCGCGGCACGTCAGCGTGACGTTGGCGCCCTCTCGCACGATAACGTCGCTCGAACTCAACGAGTCGTCGATGGTCGGCGGCACTATAAACAAACATTAATGCCACTTTAATAGACGTGCGGTTGTTTCATGGTTTAATTGACGTGTTTTATTTATTTATATGAAGCTGTTATGAAATGTTCGGTATAAATAGTGATGTTGCGATTTAATATGAGCTCCAGAGACGGGTAAATATTATTTATCTTTTTGCTATGAGTACCAGCTACGCTCTTTCAATGAATTGTTAACAAAGTTCTTTCGTTTAGTTATTTCAAGTAGTTCTTAATTATGAAGATCTTACCGACAACATGTAGATATCCGAACTGCGTCTTGGCAGTGACGGTGTTGATCTGGCACATGTAACGCCCCCGGTCCTCCTCCCTGACGTCACTGATGTGCAGGAACCACGTGCGGTGTTTGTCATGAGTGACACTAACGCGAGGGTTGCGCGTGATCACGTGGTTGTGGACTGTGAGGATCGCTGACTGCTCAAAGTGCATCCACGCCACCTAGGCAAAAGAGTAATAATAATTTAATGGTGTATTTATTTATTTATTTTTATCCCTGAATAATTAAAAACTACAAAACAGCATCATAATCATGCCAAAAATGTAAACCCTGAGACTTCTTATTTCCATAACAATCGTCGACAAGATGAAAAATTTTCTTTCAATGCTTTTAATATTCCCAATTTTTACAACAATTTGTAGATCCTAAATTGAACAATGATTCTTAAAATGTCTTTAAAATATTATAACATGAAAAATCTCCCCTACATAAATACCTTTAGAAAATGTAAAACGAGAAAACTAGGGTGTGGAGTATGCCTCAATGATTTCCAATCGCTCTCCCAATTGGACGAGTGACGTAACGGAAATTAAAGACTTCTCCGAGGACATATTTTTTATAAATAAAATGTAGGTGCCTATCTGGAGTATTATTCAACTGTCACTAACTGCGTATTACAGGTTGATTTTATTTAATGGACATATATTTTAGTGAAAACCTTCTTATTACAACTATTAATTATTTTGACATATATTATTGTTGATTTCTTTAGTTGCCTGACTAACATATAGGGTACAATTTGTTAACGCACAAAACAAAAAAAGTGTAATGTTATGTTACTAGATGTTATATTACTTATTGTAATATTAATGTGATTTATAATAAACAGCTGTTATTTAATTTATAAGAATCAATTCACGTAATAGTTGTATTACGCCTTGCTTTAATATGATATGTAAATTTTTAAGTAACCGGGAATTATTGTTTAAGTACCTTCGTAGCATTATTGAGCTTACATTAAGGTACATTTAGGTCCCAGATATCGTTTATGACGTATAAGAAAATACCTAGTGTTTACATTTAGTAACTATTAACATGTAATTGTCAGGAAGGTAAAAGAAATAACAACTTGTTTCTTTCTATTTATAAGTGAAATTGGTGTTTAGAGAATGTTGCGCGGTGGAGTAGGACGCGCGACGTGGTGGTGGATGTCTAGTATTCGTGTCGTCTCCACGACATCTGTGTAATTGCAAGAAGCTGCCATCGCGTCCTCGCTTCACACCAATTTCCACGGCATTAAGCGCTTAAAATGCATTTTACTTAGATTGTTATACTCACGACGAACAATCTCGACACTTGTAATCTTCCCCCAGAGAGAAAAGATTTAATTTTCCCGATCAATTAACATAACACTACCTTTATTTTTAAGTTTTCTGGCTCATTCGACACACGTGGAACAAAACACTTTAAAAAAAAATCTCAATTTCGTTGCGTATTTTTGAGTCATCCCGTTTGAAGTAAACAATTTCAGTAAAAGGCAATCTACAACCTACAACTCATAATTATTTATTGAAACAGCACGTTCAAACTTTTAACATTATAACAAGATTTTTATTGACTTAGACAGTTTTCGACATATTTTAAATCTGAAAATAACCTACATCTACAAATTAATTAAAGTCGTATAGTCGCAAGAAAAATTAACTAGAGTGAGGTGGTTTGTGAGGTTCAAAAGTTCGACGTGCATCCTTTATCTCTTAATCCTTCTTTAAGTTTGAATCATGGGTAGTTCTTTTTATCAAGATTGCGGGACCAATATAGAGGAAGTTTGGTAGCTAAAACTCGTGCCGGGTCACATCTTACCTATCTTAAGTGATGCGGCTCTCAGCCGCTGTCTAATTTATAATGGACTTGAGGAAACTTCGCCCATTTTATTATGCAATGGGACGGTAACCCCTCTAATGACGGCGACCTGACTTCTCGGCGTAACCTGGGGCTCAGGGATATTAAACAGGCTTAGTAATATTTCAAACGATTTACATGAAAATAATTTCATGTAAAATTCTTTAAGTAAGATCTCCTTATTTTCTAATCTTTGAAGTTTGTAACTTGGCGCTGAGTAATCTCGTAGAAGTATTTACAAGTTGCGAGTTGGGAGCGAGAGGTACGGTGATGTGAAACGAGACGCGACGCGGTGGCGGTGCGATGACGACGCGACGCGACGCGACGCAGTGACGGTGTAGATACGAGCGGCAGCGGTAGATGTAAATCTGATCTGCGTAATTGTGGCCGGCGTCTAATCTAATCACGACGGTGTGTCCCTCTGCACCGCACTGATTGAATTACGAGCCGCAGCCGCCGCCGCGTCGTCGCCATCTGGATGGACAGTCTTCCAACTAATATGGGTGCTTCGATATTATTATGAGCAAATTAATATGAAAACTCCAAGATCGCTGAGTACATACAGTCGTCATCCCCGACCAAAGATTAAAGCAGTTATCTTAAATCCGTTATAACGTAAAGAGATATTACCCAAAGTTCTCTTTTACTGTTCGAACAATTAAGATAAAATTAAATAGGAATCAAAATTTTATAAGCGGTCGGAAGATAAGCGTTGAGTGTTGAACTTAACGAAGTTGTACAATCGCACGGCGAGCTCGGGGTGGCTAGAAATATTTAGTAAGAGCACAAGTACTTCGGGATTTATATAACAGTGTTTTGAATTCTGTGAAATAAATGGTTATTATTATTAGCAATTTTGAGGAAAACTTAATTGCAAAATGCGGAGCAATATTATTATTTTCCTGTGAAGTAAAATGGTTTCTCGCTACGTAAGTGACTAATGAAGCTGGCGGAAGTGGCAGATGAAAATATGATATTCGTAATGACGGCAGCGGCTAACTAATTTCATTCGTCTGCGGATCCTAAACGAGTTAGGTCACGACGTCGTTACGCGAGTTGTTGCCTGGCGCTCCCCCGCCCGCCCCGTACCGCACCGCACTCACCGCCCGCGCCGGCACTCGGCCCATTACTTCAAATATGCAAAATTATCTAACCGCAAATTTTATGGACAGGTTGTAACATTTTTGAGTTTACTGCAAGGTGAAGCTGTTTGTGTTATTCCAAATTGATTTAGTTTACAATAAAATGATCACGTGAATTTAGTTGAATATGTTATCTCTGCCTACCTACCAGTAATAGAGGTAATATCTACACGAAGTATAACTATGCATTGAAATCTTTGCTACGATAATACCGAAAATATCTGTGCCTGCGTTTTACTCGCAAAGTTAAAGCGGCCTATTAACTCGTTATCTTTTAACCACCTTTAATTTAGGCCCTTCTTTCTTTTTATCTTAATTGTTGAGGCATTAAGGAGGCAAAGTTGAAGTTCGGTGGCACGGCGGGAGACGTCCTCGTCCCTCAGGACATGCCTGGAAGGCATCGTTTGATTTATAATGGACTCGTTGCAAACTTTGCCCATTCCACCGCGTACCGTACCGAACCTCTTTAACGACGGATCCTATCGCCGCAGGAGATGATTCGTAGACGTGTTTAATAATATTACGACAGATTTAATTATGGAACGTTTAAAGAGCTTCATCTTACGCTATTACCCTAACTTTGTTTGTTTCAAATTCTCGAATGGTTCATATTTTTTAACTTTATATATTGCTGCGGTAACTGTTATAATGCTGTAAATAAGTTAATTGCATTTATTTACGTGAGAAGTGTGAATGTTTAGGAGTACAGGAGTTTGTTATAACTTACAAAAGAAGAAGTAATTTTATATATTTTAATAAACGCTTTCGACGCCAGACGACCGATTCCGATGACCGAAAATTTTTTTTTAAACTTTGTCAAAATTTTAAGCTGAAATTATTGAAGGGTAGGAAGGATACTTTCATCCCGGTTTACAAAAATTTTAGATGTGTGTGATAAATACCTAATTGAATATATAATAACATGTAAGTAAAGAAAAATGTAAGTCTATATATTTTATACCGACTCAATACAATGGAGCAATTTGTAGGTGAAGCAGGGAAGAATAAAGAGGTAGCGTTCGCATGGCCGATCACCAGCCAGATGGACAGCCCTTATAAAACCAGACAAATTAATTGTGGAATGCACGAGGAGCGCTACTACTAGAAAAAAGTGATGATATATCTCAAGGGCAACCACTAAGAACGTTCCACGATCACAATCACTATGTAAAGAGTGCACATTAAGCAGATGTATTTTATACAAAAATTAAAGTGTATCATTGCACCGCGTGACATACTTAATTTGTTTTTTTTATACTTGATAGGTCAACGTTTGGCGCCTCGCCTGGTGGTAAGCGATGATGTGGCCGACTATGGAGCATGCCTACCTATGAGCAACCTGTTCACTTATTACTCAAGTTGAGCGTTTATTCCCAGAAGTGTAAGTACTGCAACGACAAACACAGCTTTTTGCAAGAAACTTACAAGTTGTTTATTTCTATAGTTAACTAAACCATTAAAATCACTGAATACAGGTTAAAATGTATTATGATTAATGTCAATATTACCTTACATCACAAACATTTACAGAGGTACAATAATCGGAATTGCACATACATTACAGATAATCTGATAAATGGAATATTATTTTGTGAACATTTTACGAAAGAAAAGCTCACACAACTACTTGAGATACTTTTTGCTTGTCTTTGGAGAGATTTGCCCAGCAGTCGTTTTTGATACAACCTTCATAAATATGATAAACATCTAACTGTGTGTTACGTATTCATAAAAGAAAATTTTACATATGATAGTAGTAGACAGGAAAAGATGAAACTCATTTTCACACAGAATATAAAAGTTAATATTTTATTTATTGCGTCTTAGCTATTGATGTATTGGAAGGTAAAACTTCAAAGTACCGAAGAATAAAGTAACTACACGCAGTCTCTACCAGTGTGTTGTTCGTAGAACACTCTCCACGTCACAAAGCGTTAGTACAGTTGACACACTAATGCAATGGCGCAGACAGAAATGAGCGAACATCTTGCACGAGACGGCTTAGCTTAGTTCTGCTAAAAGCCCACTTAGAGATCTCCTCAGCTGCGGATTTGTGCCGAGGGCTCTCCAAGTTTTCACGGAATCTTCGGCCAATAAGTTATTTTGGGTTTGATGTAAGTACTGCTGATCGAAAACATTTTACGAGCAAAACTTCTATCGTTATAGTTAAAATGTGCTTTTGAGATGGATATTATTGAGACTTTTGGTTCGGTTATAAACCTATCTGTACATGTTTTTAATTAAAACATGAATCGGTGTTCGTCAGGATCGTGTAGTGTACACGATCATTACAGACATTAGAGCGGCGCGGGCGATAACGCAGCTGGGCGGTAGTCGAAACAAGTACTCTCGGCTCCCCTCATCTTGGGCTCAGTTTGCTCATGCGAGCTCCACTATTAAGGCACGAGAAATATGCCAGAATTTGAACAGGCGGCGCTCGCATGCGGCGCGAGTGTAACATTGCTGCGACTCGTTGTGGCATGTTATTGCAAACCCACATACGTGCTACTGCCGACTATCTGACATTTCATGCCGATGAACCGGCTACGTGCGCATACTTACAGACATTTGCATAAAATAGAGTAACATTTAACGCAGTCGCGTTACTTACGAAGCAAATCATACATGGATATATAATTTCATAAAATACTAAATTACTACTATTAGAAATGCTGTACTTTTAGAAATAATCTTTTTTTTGCGACGGGAAAATCATCCTATAACTTCTCCCGCCTTGAGTGAGGATTTAGAAAAGTAACATAGCTTTGGCATCTATCAATATTACATTGAAAATGTAATTACAAAAATATGTTGCAGTACGGATTTTGCCCCGGCAATGACATTATACAATAAATACGAGTACATTCTGAACAAATAACCGTGTGTGATATAAATATTTGTCGTGTCGCGTGAACCGAACTCACTGCCCTGAACATAAAAGCAAATGGTATTTATCCTGACCAGTAGGTATTTTAGAGTATTGTTGGTAACATCGTAATTAATTGCTATAGGTATATTTTTAAATAAATAATTTTGCATAACTCGTTTATGAAAACATATTATAAGAAATAAAAATCACACAGTCATTTGATCACAATATTTCACATGAATTCTAAAAAAATACGGACGAAAAGGCAAATCTTTTTAACCGACGCGGGAAACTAATGGCACAGGCGAGGCTTTCGGGGAAATCCGCTTCTTGTTGTCAATACAGGGCAACCGTGATGGCTCCCCCAGTTAAGCCTTTATTTCAGAAGTACGAGAACACTATCTCGGCTTTTATTGCGCCCGCACTGTAGACAGCTTCACAAGTAAGTAAATGCAATAAAAAAGAAGGAAAAAGTCGGTCAAACGATATTCAATGGAAATGCCATTGTAGTATTTTACTTGTTTTAAGGTTTTATTTGGATCGTTATAAAGGATGTTTAAATAATATAACAATGTAAATATACGAAGTAGAAGTACTTACCGACAAATTGGCTATTACTAACTAATCTACGTTTCTGGTTAACAGCGGGTGCAGGGAGATTCAGTGAGAACCGAATGAACCAGGCGGCCCCCGGGAGTGGGAGCATGCGGTGTCGGCAGTTAGCCGGCGCGGCGTCACCTTGCGGCTTATCGGCCGTCCGGTCACCGGTCGCCGGCTGTCGGTGTTCGTCCGCGCTACGTTTACCGGCTCTTCGCTACTCCCGACAGTTGTACTACTCGTTACAGATATATTGCGACGCCAAATTGCTGTCATTAAGTTTAATCTTTCATCTAATACCCAAAAGTGTTACTAACAACATCTTAGAACAGTTATTTGATACGCAAATAAATTAATGCGAAGCTACGTTGTTGCTACAAAGTACTACGTGTCGGCTACGGCGTAGCAGTTGTAGTCCATGTTTAAAAATTTACTGATTTTTTAACACCATTCGCTAATTTGTTTTGTTAGCTATTGATTATTCTATAAAGAATTGAGACAGTTATGTTGTTATGACTATCCTTTGGTTTTGTAAAATATTTTGAAAAATATAAGCTACAGACCTATAGGATGACAAGTTTCTACCACTCATGTCAATAGGTATTTAAGCTTTCTTTTTGGTATACATTGTATAATAATATGCGTACTGTATACAAAGATTTATTGCAGCTCTCAAAAAGAAAGTTTTTATATTCGAGTGGTTTCAGTTTCTACCGCCTAATATTTATAATAAGACTTCCAAATCACTTCGGCGAAAACATATTAAGCAGTTACGTGACAAATGTATTACTATACGATTATTTAATCTATTTAAAACACACACACACTCTGCATAAAATAAAATGTCTATAACATGGGTAGCGCTAAAGACATTTTAGTTTTTAAACCGTCTGAGGCACGAGCGAGGTGCAAACTCGGCGTAGGGGTTGTAAATCATATCTTCCTCCATTTATATGGACACTTTATTACGACGGCGCGTTCTAAATCAAATGATAAAATGCTTCTTATTTTATGTTTCCTTTCGCCGCTCCACGCATATTGTCGTCTATTCACCGCGCTGCCGTCGCCTCCGACCTATCTTAGTGAAGCCCATTCAAAGATTCAAGATGTGATTTTGTGTTTGTGTTGAAGATAAACAAGGTTCGGAAGAAAGTAGCTGCGGTACATCTGTATCAAACTAAAGTCTGTTATAGTCAGTGAGATGAGTAAACTTACCTTGTAAGAGCCGAGGTTCTTGACGGAGCAGGCGAGTCGCACGCTCCGGCCGGCTGGCACCGTCACGTTTTGTATGACGTCCGTAAACTCTGGCTCCTCCACCACTGAAAAGAATATATTTGTTTACTAGATTATATACTTGCGGGTCTCGTGTATACACAAGTCAAGGACATACAATCTTTTTTGTATTACCGATCGAAGTTTTGTCTCTCGTAGTTGCGGCGTATTCAGAAGATATAAATTAAGATAAATTGAACCGATCTTCCCTTAACCTTATCAAGCTGGAAAGATTTTGCAGTTATGAGGACATTTTTGTGTCAAGAGATACGATTTGTAATTCTCAAATTATCAAAGCAGAACGCTTTTAAACAAATTGAGTGGGCGATAAGGAATAATGTCGTCGTTTATCAAGCTCCAAGATAGATGGCCCTTGCTCTGCTCTGCCCATTTTAAATGCGTTTGTCTTCGACTTGCCAAATTGGCGTTCTTTGTTTTCTTCTTAAGTTCTTACTTTTATGTCGCTACACGAGGTGCGGAATGGTTAAGTATTTGATCGCTGCGGTGAAAATGTTAATACTGTTTGGAAAAAGCGGGAAGTGTTGAACTGTGCAAGGAGAAGGGGTTACACAGGGGTTGAATAAGCAAGTAAACATTTGTCATCCCGTGAGCGAGGCGGGAGTCTATGTAAAGAAAGGAGCGATGTCGTCTACGACAACAGTATTGAGTCAGGACACAGTCAAACGTTCGCATTCAGCGTGCTGTGTTTGATTAATGGTTCCAATGTTTAATGTGGCGAATACAAAATTTTGAGACGGGAGTCAATGAGGTTTATTTAGCTGTGACGCAAAGACTAACCATGTTGTTTGAGAATAAACACGATTCGACGAGCCGGTCCGATTGAATATGCTTTTACTTCGATGTGTCTGTGTGTCTGTGTACCTACGTTTGTGTTTGGAGAATAAACTTGCTCGGTGGCGATAGTTAGTCTGGTTCCAAGTTGTTTACATATCACCACCGCATCCAGACTGACAATAGATTTATTTTGTTCCGGTTTGGACGCAATCGAACAAAAATATCGTCTAGTATATTAATGGAACGTATATTTGACATTTCTTTAACGACTTTTTTTATTAAAAACTTGCAAGTAACATATTATGCTTTATAAAATAAACATTTACATTCTAAGTTCTGTAAATTAAACGTTGCTTGCTTAGATGCGTTGACAAACATACAATTTCACATACACAATGAGCTTAGTTCAGTAGCAACAATTTGTGGATCTCACAAAGAGTTGATCCGAGTACACGTCGCGTGGTAACTGGTTGCCTAGCCACGACGCCAACCATGCAATCAAAGTACTATAAGAGTGTAAATAAATGTTAAACTGACAAAAATAAATAAATAATGTCTATGTTACTACTTACTACCGTTATAAATACATATCAAATATATTACAATGTTTATACATTTTGCTGAAATAAGGAAATATACAACTACAATTTTAAGAGAATTGGAGAATTAAAAAAATGTTCGAAACCTCTTTTAGTTGATACTACCGTTTATTTTACAATATTATCAATATTGTATCCACTCGACGGAGTATTTCGGTTTCGGCGCACGCAGCAGTTCGCCACAGAGCCAACATTTAGATTTAGGTATGTACGTACATATATTTGTGTGTGCAAACGTGGCTAAGAGATACCCGACTGAAGATGAAAGCTTCGGTTGTTGCGTGTTTGCTCACCTGATCGTATTAGCTCTAAGCACGACGCTCCATTTTCTGCCCGGGTGCCCCTGACTCAACCGATGTAAATCGCGCATTAACATCTATAAGGTACCCTATTAGCTGTGTATGCGTTTCTTGACGTTCATTGCTAACAATGGATACAACATTATTGGTCGGCAGCAAGCCGGTAACGATGACGCGTATTCATTACGCAACACCCTACACGATGGTAATTTGTAAAGTTCCACAGTCGACATTCCAAACACGTCGTTAATTTGGAGATCGTTACGTTAGTCAATCACGAACAGAGGGCCGCGATAATTGAAGAATTGATCTAAATTAAAAATTAGTGTCAAACGTATAATAAATCAATCATCAAACTAAATTGCTATAGAATCAACAAAACAATAATTGAATGTTTCAAAAGTAATTGCACAAATTGATGTGTACAAAGATCACAAACCAAGATTATTTAGGACAAACTAAATTCACATTAGGAAACTAAAACATTAGTTCATCGTATCAATGACAGTCGCGTCAACGACCCAAACTCCGATTATGAGCCACGAGACAACACAAACAATATTATCAAGTAACGTCATAAGACACGCCACCATTGTATTATATGTTATGGTAATCATAAGTCTCGGTAAGAACATACGTACGTTTAAGTTAATAAGGCGCTCGTAGAGGAGATGACTTCTATTTGTTTCAATAATACCGTACATTAAAATTAACAAGGGTAACGTTGGCAATAATCTTACATACCGCACGAGGCAGTGCGGCGCGTGCAAGGGTATTTAGGGGTTAATTAAGAAACCGCAGACAGTGGTGCGGCGGGAGGGGGGTAATCCCTTTGTCACCGATGGCAAGACGATGCCTCCGCTACGGCTACACGTACTATTGTTGTGATTACAATGTAGCGACGTGTACACCTTGTCGATTAAATTCCCACATGATGTTGTAACTACTAAACATTGTTTGGTACAATATTAGTGACATTATTAAAAGTTTCACTTAATTTTGTGTAATTCTATTCAAACTTCTAATGTACTATTCTTAATTCGATTTAGCACCTCATCAAATAAATAATATAAAGTAAAGCGCGTTTAAATTAGGACTTGGGTGGAATTGCAATTTGCCAACAAGCATGTCAAATACGAGTGGCAATTCAAATAATTACGTCCGGGATTGGGTCGACTAAATATTCCAAAACTAATAATGAATGGGACCGCAGTCGCTCCTAACTCGAGAATAATCTCATATTAAAGCTGGCCCTTATGCAAATGAGAAGCGGTCAGTCGGAAGTCATCAGGCGCGGACGGGCCGACGGCGGGCCGGCGGCGGAGCGGGCACGGCGCGACTGCGGGCCCGCCACAAATTGACAGGGCCCACACCGCCAAATTGATTGCGGCTGCACAGACACCTCGTTATAATACGCGTGACACGCCATCATGACAAATAGCCTATCGTTCGCTGCTTTATCTGTTTTGAAAGACTCAACCTATTATTGTTTTCACGTCAAAATATTACAGAATTCCAGGACCAGAAGGGAATGTTTTCAGAATGTTAAAATATTTCACGCCAGTTTATTTAAATCGACGTTAGAAATTTTGTTAATATTTTACTCGTACTTCGACAAACTTTTATTATTCTATGATTACGTTACCAAAAATCAATCATTTTGAAAAAAATCTGTAAGTTTTGTGATTAAAGAAAATGTACACGCGACTAAAAAAGTTTTTCGTTTTCTCAATTTAGTCCACACCGGAGTAATTATGTACTTGACAAAGTAAAACTTATAGATGGCAAAGTATTCGTAAAGAAAAATATTGTAACGAAGTATTTAAAAGTGTTTAACGAGGCTCCATTTACAATGCTCACAGCTTAGTTATTAGTTTGAACAAAATCAATATAAAGTTTTGTTATGGTAAGTGCGGTTCTGTAGCCAAATATTTAAGTTTATACGTCCCTTGTCACAGATGTGGCTCGTAATATTCTCATATACGATCAAATTCTTTTAAGAGATCCGCAGATAAAGAACGTGGCGTCGGGTGTTTGGGCGGTTTCGGACTTTCACTTATTTGTATGCTTTACCCTTCGCCGGGACACGGACGTGACTATTCGAGATACATAAACCCTGAGTGAATACAGAAAATAGAAATAAAGTAACATACATAATATTAGTTTTAGTAGACGGATTGTGGAAAAAATGATGTCGGTACAATTGGTAGTATTTGCTTTTATTGTTATTCAGCTATATTATATTTAGGTATTATCACTTTACAAAGAGATTTGTTTTGTATTGAAATACAATAGTTTATGATCTGAAATATTTTCATTGTTCATAAATCGTGGATTTTAACTCGTTGAGTACCGTCATTATAGACACAATTAAAGAACAATACGTTGCGGTCACCGGTGACCGATTGGTGTTTGACAGTTTAAGTTAGATTTTTATGAAAAGGGAGGTCATTTTAAAATTATACAATTGAAAAAATAAATAAAGGTTTAAGTTTTTTTTTAAACTGGGCTCCATTTAAGATAGAGGAAAACAAGTAGGCAGGTCACTTGATGATAACCAACGAGCGTTGCGAGCAACGAGAGGAGATACATGTTTTTTCATGGTATAGGCAGGCAAACGGGCATATGGAGCACCTTATGGCGCCACCCATGGACACCCGCAACACCAGAGGAGTTACAAATGCGTTTCCAGGCTTTTAGGGTTTGAGAATTGTGTTGTGAGTTTCGGTTTAACATTTAAATCTTCATAAAATGACAAAAATAGACAATTATTATATACGTAAGTAGTTACAACCCCACAATTGAGCACTAGTATTTAATTACATGTTACCTCCAATCTATGGTTTCACCCTCCAGTTACGAGAGTAAGATGGATTCGAGAGACTAGCACATTAATCACATTCAAACGCACCTCCAGTTTTCAGAATGTATGATACGCATTTTTATTTATTGTAGGTCTAACTTTTTGCATTTGGTAATTGCTATCACAGGAGTCAGGACCAATCACTTAAATAAGTATTAATAATTGTGAAATGGTAGAAATAGTTAATTATGGTAAAAATATTTAATAGCATTCAAAAAAGGTTTGCGGGAGAGCCGATAAATTACATGAAGTACTTTTTATGTGGTGGATGCGGTAACACGTTATACGCTTATCGATGAAACATGTTTGTAGGGTCATCGAGGCCGGGTCATGTCGCGGTCAGTTCAGCGGAAGTACGGAAGCAGATGTTGACAGGTCGCGGGAAGTCACCCCCTTCCAACTACTCTTATCTACCCACTCCAACGTCACCGGTAGTGACTCTTGGTCGTCAAAACAGTCAACCTCATCACATAGTCTACGTATGTGTTTTTGTTCACACAAATTGTGATACATACGATATCTAGAAATATTAGAAAGAAAGAAAGAAAACGTATTTATTCTGCTATTTTTATACAATTTAAAAACTTTAGTAGGCAACTAGAAATAACTGGTTGAACATTAGTCATACAATATGATAATATAATATATTCCAAACAAAACTACTGGAAAGTGGAATCATTGTAAGGTCTATATTACTTTCTCTCATGAGAACCAAAGAAGAGCTTTTATTACTTGTAGGAGTAGACAGCTTTTTTGGTTTATCAACAAGTAAAAATTCACCAGGTTTCTATAAAGTCTCTGATAATTTACATATTAAAAATTTCACATATTGTACACATAGTAAAAAGTGTACAAATTTACACTTGTGTATCGGGAAAACAAAGCGTTCCACCACAAGACCAGTGCATCCATGCAATGCTTTACAATGAAAATACCTCTCTACGTTTTAATTAAACTGGGCCGCTTATATTGATTGATAGCATTTGCCGAATTGACTGACTTCAACAATATATTGTTTATGCTATTTTATTACATTTACGGAAAACAAACAACACAAGTATTTGATAACTTACTACTTTAACATTCGTACAGTGGCTGAATGAAGTTGTTTACGTATACAAACAACGTCATAACATTCACCATAATGGTAAGAAACGAGAGTGGAGAGAGCAATAAGCGTTTGCGTGATAAAGTTTCTTTAAGCTAATCACTAATTGAACAAGTGTTTCGGGCTGACGGCGTAAGTCGCGAGATCTAATTAAAGCACCTACCGCGGTGCGCCGCTCAACCCCAGTCGGAGCCTATTATCACGCCTCCGCCTCCTATTAGCATTGTCTCCTCGAGGGCGATACTTATCTTTATTTAAATTCACTTCTTGGTAATTGGGTTGACGAGTCGACAACGTGATTTGCATTGATGAAAATTGGCCAGTGTACCGGGCCCTCGTAACTTACTTCGACGCCTAATTTGTTTTATTACGTTTGTAAAACGGAGACGATTTTATCGCCGATGGGATTTGTTTACATCTGGTAATTTACACGGAACAAACACTATCTGAACAGTATATCTAAAAAGAATAAAATGAAAAGCGGCGCATATCTTTCTTAACAAGTTGTCAGCTATCTGACACTAGCAGTGTGAGCGGGAGTTATTACACTCGTAATAAATTAGAAGGCATAGATGTCACTTGTAGCATTTTTGCAGTAGCGCCGTACGAGCGCAGTCAAAGAGGATGCGCTTGGTTATTTCTCATTACGGAACACGCGATAAAATCACACAGAGTCGTTGCCTCATTAAAATCTTCTGGTGCGCGCATCTGTAAGCCTTTTGTGAAGGCGAGAGCGCGCCGCTCTTGACGCCTTTCGCGTGTCATTTCGGGCACAATGCCGCGCGGCGAGGGACGCGACGCTTGGCAATTTTTGCTCTGACATGCCAGCGTATGCTTTTTATCAGTTTATCGAGAAATATTTTATGCGGATACACTGTTATTATATTCCCCTCACGTTAGATTCGTATTCTGTACTTGAATGACGTGTCATATCTACAGCGTGTAGCGTGTGTTGCGGTTACATAATACATGTGTACACATACATTATTTTAGTTGTGAAATTGTGTGTTGTTTTTATTAACACGTATTCGGAAGTAATTTATTTTTCAGAATAAAATCTCGGTAAAATAACTGTATCCAGTTAGACTTCTATAATTACGATTCTAAGAAATATAAATGGAACATAATATTCCAAAGGTAAATAAGAGCATACTAATAAGTCCAAAAGAGCATCTCGTCATACCTTTGAATCTTATTTTATTCGTAACCAAGATAGGTTAGGAATAAAATAAGATCGTAGATACTGTTGTTGCTTATTTCTGTCGTACAAACTATAATTAACTATTTCATTACAGCAGCGAGAGGTCTTCATTAAGACCAAGTTCCAAGAAACAGTTTGTCGCGAACTGTACAGAAGCAAACCAGTTATTACAAAATAAAATTATAAGTTCAACTCAACTGTTGCTTAGCTCATGCTATGAAATAAATGCATTTTAACTATAGAAATTCCTTTTAGATACGTTTTATATTTTTTAAATTATTCCTTTTCTTTACATTGTCTGAAAATAAAAGAAAATTTATAAACTCGTGAGCTTGCTTCTCGCACATCTTCACAAAGCTTTAGTTTAACCCTTGACCACCGCCCCGTTAATTAGCTCCCCACATCTTGCAGAGAATCTGCATATTTTTTACATGAGGGGTTGGATTAGCTCCACAGACCTATATTACTCCATATTCCCCTAATTTACTAAATAAACTATCGTAACATCTCCTACCACAGAGGTTTAAAATTTGGCATATTGCCAATGAATAGTAAACTGTGCAGTTTGACTTTAATAACATACAAATTAAAAGTAGCCGTAAGTGGGAAGAGTTTAGAATTAAAGTCCACATTTAGGCACAATTTGGTACAATACGGTAGTTCAATATTTAACGTGTTTCACTTTGCATATTCACAAGGCGGTCGGGCCGGGTTACCGCTCGCCGCTCACCTACCGACTCCGAATGGTAATGCCGCCCATTAAGCGCGTACTGTGCGCTGCGCCCGCCCTTGTATCTACGACTTATTACTTCATTTTTGAATTCCAATATTAGATCAATGGTAAAGGATATCTTCGGTCCGTTTCTTTGAACTAAAAATTTGAAAAAAGTTTCTGGTATTCTTTTGTCAGTAATATTATTACTGTTCTGCGTGCTATTAAGTCCAAATAATTATTGAGATATGTAGCGAATGAAATTTATGCAATTTCTCATCTTATATGTCTACGATTAACTGTATAGATTACAGAACATATAATATAATCCGTCTTTAAATAATCCGTAGTGTAGATATTGTTGGAAACAACTGAAATCTGAAAAACATAAACTTTCAAAATATTCTTAGTATTTTTTGTGTGGAATTTTAAGCAGAGCTCGGTATGTTTCGATAGTAGTAAACCGTATGTTTACAAATTGGCAATACAATATAACAGAATGGAGGGCACGTCGCCGTATCGCCGACGCAATGGATGCAGGTCACGAGCGCGGGCGCCCGCCGCGCCGCCCGGCATACGGCGCCCGGCGCCCGGTCGCGGCACCCTACACACACATCTACAGCTATTGCACCTCGCCAATAAATGAATATTAACCAATTAGCCTGTATCGGATTCATATAAGAGCACACCACTTCAATTACACGTCTGCTAACTAACTTCATTTTAATTACACACACACTAGACAGTTGTTTACCGAATTGCAGACTCGTTCGTTATTGAATTGTTGATTTTATTTTGTTAAATATCACTGCTTTGGTATGTTTATTATGAGTTAATATTATCTTGAAATGTTAGTAAAATATCAAATGTGTAATATATTTGTAATTACTCAATTCGTATTAAATCATGCAGCTAATTACATTCATATGTTATGTATGTTACTTGTACTAGATGAATATTTATTATCGCAGTCTAGATTTTAGATTAGGGAATAGTTAATAAAGGTGAAGTTGAGTGATATTGACGCACTCACGTCGAGTACTGCTCAGGCTCCTGTCTACTTGCCTACTTGACGTGAGGGTTTCCCCAGAGGAAAATAAAAGTAGGAAGAGAGACTCCTTTACGTATACTACAGTGCTGCGAGACGGATTTAAATTGGGATTGTTGTATGATAAGTTTTACAAGAATGGTAAAAAATTTAAAACATTTTTGCAACTTGCATATTTTAATTTTGTAGGTTTAAAACACAACTTTATGATAAAAATAATTTCTATCTATCTGGAAAAGTTTGATTAAAATATTATCGAATGTTTTCTTCATTACGTATTCTTGCAAACGTAGTGAATTTTGCCATTGCAAGTCAGTGCACGGAAGTTTGACGTAGCGTCTCCTAAGAATCAATGATCCCTTTGGCTTACCGCATATGTTTGTGAACTGGCTCCCTGATTTTGTCCACCAAGCGCACACGGTACACTGCACGGTGTTGCGGTACAAGCTACGTGTTTCAGATGTAATAAATCTTGATCGACATAAAGTATAAAAGTTGACGTCGCGGTAAGGAAGCTAATTGGCGTAGAAAGTACTGCGCTCATGTGATACACGGTGAATGGAGCGGGATATGATCGCGACGACAACACTGACTGAGCACTTTCTCCCTGCTCAATAAAGGGAATCTGTTGTGTGAGATACCTTTGATAGGCAAACGTTCCGTTAGTATGTAGATGTATGCTTAGTGAGTGCAGTTACGTATTCTGTCGTCGGCAGCGGATCGTTATCTGTTTCCACTAAAGGAAACTGGCTTTTCCACGAAAGAACCACCCCAACGGTTTCAGCGTCCCCCTTCGCCCGACTCGACTTCTCCTTTTTGCGTTATTTCATTTTTCTTTGCTAACGTGCACCTGCTAGTTAGCTGCCTGGGGCTCTCATTGCTACTGCAATGTTAGATGCCCGTTACCGCGGATCATAGCACGATAAAATTGTATCTTAATGCTAAACGGTTTCGAAAAAACTTAACTGAAGGTTTCTACATACTATATCGTCAGATGATAAAGCTAAAATAAAAATATTGAACGTGATGTGCATAAAACGGCACAACTGTTACTGAAAATGCATTGTCGGCTATGAAGTTTAATGTTAGATGTCAGTACAAAGGATGGCATTCTGAACAGCGATAGAACAGTCTCCTTGATACATTTGTATTCCTTACAGACAAGTAATCAATATCCGTTGAGCGGCGAGAGCACGGACAGAACTGTCCTATGTTCAACTATTTTTCTTTCAATATCTGACCAGTCTAGTGCACACACACATTACATCGAGATCTACGTATATTAAGTATAGTGTGTTGTTTAAAGAGAAGAAGAATATAATACTGCTTGCAAAAATCCATGTGTATAAAATATTCTGTTAATATTTATTTAAATATTAACAAGAATGACTACGATTATGTTCAGACTTCATAGTATTGGTGCGAGAACATCTGCCGACACCAGAACAATATGATACTCTCATATGCCGAAAAAAATAAAGCTGGTATGTACGACATCACGCGTGCGAAATAAAATAACAACGGCAACATGGTGCGGATGGGGCTTGATACATATTTGAATACATTACCGAACACCCAGATAATGCCACCAACATGCCATACTTATTCATAACGCCTTCTCAAACTGTGAATGAATACAAATACGCCATCTTTCTTCTGTGTCTATAGACGCAGCCGATAATTTGATTGCTATAGGACAGAACAAATCTTGTGTTAAGGAGGTCGCAACCATAGTAATAAAAACAAAAACGTGGATAGCACATGTTGTCATCTTACAAGTGTTTATTTAATAGAACATACATTTGATAATTTTTAAGCTCTATTAAATAAATTTTAGGAAGAGTGCAGTGGTTGTGTGGTTGTGTACTCAGCAAAGTGTGTGTATAAGCTAAAACATATTCAGTAACAATTTCTATGAAATGTTGTAGAATAAACACAGTTCGTTTATAAATGAATGCACGTAACATTCAAAGAAATACAAAGTTATCGGAGCACTTTGAGCTCGCGCAATTCATTCCCGATGTTGCAGCGGGAGCGGTGCGCCATTATTGGTGATGCGCCAAACGTCTTCAATTACATCTCGAATGAATGGCCCGCTACTTGTTGGTCTCGTTAAAATCACTACGAGAATGTAAGGAAGGAAATTAATTAAGAAGCTGAGAGCTCCACCGCCAAGATTGTTAGTGTATACATTCAGTAATATCACATAATGTTGTTCTTCAGATGGACAAACAGGGCTGTAGCTGTATTGAAAGACTCATAATATACTTACTATATAATAAACGTAACATAACATCACGCCTTTTATCCCGGAAGGAGATATTTAGGCAGAGGTGCACACTTTACTTATGAATATATATAATACGTTATGAATCCCATGTAATAGGGGATGAGCCTATTGATGATTGAAGCTATACATTACGTATCTCTTTGTGGGCGAGTTTTTACAAAAAGCCACAGCAAATTATCAATTCTAGTGCTTAGTTTGTATTATGGGGAATTCGAAAGTGTTCAAACTTAATAGAATATCTTCTGACCGGGAACTGAATTAAATCTAGTATGATAGCGTGGTGAATAATAGAAACAGTAACGCTTATTACGAATATAGTGCGATACAGGACAATGTTTGCGTATACACTCATACAGGCGCCGACGTCTACGGCCAAGAAGGCGTTCACAGTTCACGCTGATTTCCTGTAAACACATCTATTGTGTCGCTGACGGCCTCACACCCCTCACGAGGGAAAATGTTGCGAATAATTATTCATCCTACATTTTATTACGCGTACTTAGACATTCAATAGACAGGAAAATGTTACCAATAACAATACGACGAACGTTATTATTTACCCTGAACGATTCCTTCATGCGAGCAGGTAATTCCGTGATTTCAGTGTATTTACAATTGCTTTTATTTTATTTTTGTTACCTACTGACATTTCCTGGTTCGATGTGGTTTCAAACTTTGGTTCTTTAAATGGTATCGCGTGCAGTTGTATCTTTAAAACAACATAGAAATAATCCCTTTATCTTTATATCTCTCAAAAATCTAATAATGTATGACCAGTTAATAATGAAGATATTTTTGTAAAAAGAATGAGTTTAAGTAACAACATGTATAACAATTAATACACAAATTAATTTTTAAATTAAATATCAGAAGTCATTCTCACAGTATCAACACTGGACTATTATGCTGGGCTAATAATGGTAACAATTATACATTATTAATTACTCACTATCCGTTGGGTAAAGTAATGAGGAGAGTATTAATTAACTGGTGCAGTTAATTTAAATGAGTAAGATAAAATTGCGTGAATAAGCAGTCGGGTGCAGGTAATAACAATTTTTACTTATCTTTAAAATGGTTTTTCTTGCTGATATGAACAAACATTCACTGTTTACTTAAATAATTCTGACGGGTGAGTTAACTATGGTGACTTTTTTATAATAACTATCGTGAGACATACTAAATCAGCTAAAAATCGCGGGTTACGCACGTGAATGTACTGAGAAAAGCTCTACTAGTTTCGAACCACAGAGGGGTTCTTCCTCATGAGGAATATTCACGTGAGTAACCCGCGATTTTTAGTTAAACAATGGTGATCTGAAACAGTAGTGTGCTTTTGTAACTTTTGGTATCAGAAGTCAGAATTAGGTCATACCTACTTATGTAAGTATTTTTTGACGAGATCTCTTTTAGTTGGTATAGTTAGGCAAGGTGTAAACGGGACGCTCCCGAATAAAAGTAAGGAGTTAAATGTTTCTTCTATGTACTTAATAATACTTGCTGACCGTTCAAGGCTGATGTTGCACGAATAACACATAAACAAAATTGATTTTAAATTGAAAAATATTTTTTTTTTCATTGTCATCGGGAGCGTTTTGTTTACACCTGTATACCTATAAACTTTTACCCAGTATAGTTTATAGCTATACTTTAAACTATTGTACTATTTGAGTCAGCTCGATTAGTTACAAGTCATACAGGGCCTCACAATTATGAGCTACGTTAGCATCGCGTAGCTACGTACAAACCCCGCTAAGTTTAGATACGTAAACTTTCCTTGAGGTCATGTGGTCACGACCTGTACCTACAGTCACGTAGAACTAATGCTTAGTTTATAAGTTACCCAAGTAATTACTAAATTAAATTTAAATCTAAAGATTAAATTGTGATAGAATCAAGTTAAGAGTAAAGAGGTTCCTACAAGCACATTATTAGAAACTGCAAGGCAAGTAGTTATAAAGTAAAATTCATAGAATCTTAATTTACAAAATGTACTCTTATAATAACGCTATATCTTGTTATGATACTCAGGGTAGAGTTCATTTCCATTCATCGGACACACTTTACATTCTCTCTACTATGAACTATGAAACATTCACTAAACCTTTGTACGACAGACGACACAGAAATCAAACACAAGACTGATTTCTCGGCAGTCGCGTTTCCAAGCACTCGACCAACAAAGCAGTATATTTTAATGAACATTACAAATGTAGGAACCTGGCGGAAATTGATCAGTGAATTACCACTGGAAGCTGTTCAAGTGTATCAATGAGATAAACTTGAAGCTCAGAGATTAGACGGCGCTGTCACCTCGAGCCCTCGTCGAAGTCGAGGGCCTCTCGAGACGAGCGACCCTCGCGACATTTGTGAGCAAACACGCCGCTTACAAAATATGCAGAACGCGCCCTCAAATTAAGTCCCACCTTCCTGTCTCTACTTATGTAACTCAAAATAAAGTCAGGAATGAACACCGACTCCTATCTGCTGCATGGAGTTCGCTGTTTTTATCAACTTTAATTAGGAAAATTCTAAAGTTCTGCTACAATATTATACGACTTAATTCCTACATTTTTATAATGTGGTGGTTTTGTTACAATTTTATTGTTAGTTAAGTTGTACTGTGCACCTAGCCGATTCAGTGAAAAATAATCAAGTAAGATTAGATTTTATTTTAATTCATAGTTACAAAAAGGGATATATTAATTTACCCAGAGCGTAATAGTTGAAAAGCTTTCATGACTGACAGGCAGTAGATAAGTAGACAAACGAGTTTTCCTCGGAAGGTAAGCTTTTCGCCAGGTAGTAGTGTTGAAAACGGAATGATATTCATAGTATAGTTTAGAATAGTTTTATTTTAAAAGTACGTCTAAAATAGCAAGAGTCGAACACTGGGCAGACACGTTCTAATTTACCTGATACAGCTCGAACACTGATATAGGTGTGGACATGCAATAAGAATTTGGGCTATTCAAAGCGAGGGGAATAATTAGAAATGTTCAGACGCAGCGTCCGCGAGTGATTGATGTAGTGGAAGCCGCTGCTGTTGCCGTGCCTGAGCTCCCTCCCTCCCCCCTTCCCGGAGAGAACAACCTCCGCCCGCTGCGACAACTTGGAGACATTAAGAATATTTAAATTGTAAATTGCTCCCCTGCACTGAATACCTATTTACCAAAAGTTTGCCCTTTTATACAATTGCTACTCAAAATTGTGTGAGCAGTTAACATACATTTTATTCAAATACCTAACAATATCATAACACACGAGTTGTTTGTAAAGTAAACAAAACAGGAATTTAAATATAAACATGATTACGTTCCTTCCTGTGCGGGGAGGAATACCACAACGTACATACGTTAATATAGTGTTGAATGCCATTCCACCGCTAGAGCATTTATTACAAACGTAACGGTTTCGAAGTTCCTTTGAATCGTTTGAAAACAATTTGAATTTCCATAGACCGTAATTGACATTCTTTTCTACTTTGTAATATAACACCGGAACTTCTCGACTGTTTCATTCACGACGTACATTTTAAGACTTCATTATTATTAACACGTTAAACGACAAGGGGGTCACCGGTGACAGACGTTAGCGCAGGATTTGCTTTCAGCAGTTTTATATTGGTAGTCAAAGACATTAATACACGTGGTAAAAAGTCACGCTAAATAAAAAATGTTGTTTACACGTATGTTACGTTACAAACTATACATTTTAAAATTATCTTGATTCAAATTTGTCTATTAGTGGTTCGTTCAGACTGAGTCGAAATAAACATAATTTGATCAGAGTATTCTCCTTTTACATAAACTAAAAAGAAACCAATATAATGTATCGTAACGACAGTAGGTTGAAGTAAAATAATAGCAACGGTCGTACTTATATGTATCGTCGGCCCATTTGAGGATTTCTACAAAAATGGTTTTGTTGAGAGAAAACGCGCAAATGGAGCAAAAAGGCAGCGTTGTGATAACAATAAGGCTCGTAGATGGGCTCCTGTAACATGAATATAACAAACTAAAGAACCGACTTGATTGAATCATCCGCTGTTCTTTGTCATAAATCCGACAACGGGCGGCCGTCTAACAATGCGTCCTGAAATCGTTCCATTTCTCATTTTGTTACTCTCCCCTTTAATCTCGCATCCGTAGAAAAGTGGATCAGCGTTGCAAAAGGGCATTGCAATGCAGACAGCAGACATGCTCTGATTAATCTATTGTGAAAGTATTAGCCGATTTTACTCTCTTCGTTAATTAAGTGGAAGAATATTACTTTTCAAGACTGCTAAGGGTGGCAATCCATTTTTTTATTTAATCTTTTAACTTAATCAGTTGGATTGGTTTTCTTTTAATTCAAAATAGTATTTACGTATATTTCGTTTTAATGGATAAAAATATGATCACTGACGCATTAAACATGGCATTTATTGTTCAAATGCCTTGTTAAACATTTATAAGTCTCATAAAATTCAGAGCGAGTGTTTTCACGACATAATGAGAGCAGATGGGCGTCCATTGACCAAAACAGTGTACCCCGTGGCCGTGGCCACTCGACTCTCCCCTGTCAGACGCGATGAGAAAAACAGGGTGCTTTTTATTTCCTCCGCCTAATTTGTGGTTACTTTTCGGAAACCCGTGTATCCTCAGATTTCCCGTACCAATCTGCTGTTTGTGTAAGTGAATTTTAATAGGTAATTAAATCCCTAATAAATGCATATAATGCACGTTTGGTATAACTGAAGGTTATATAGGGAAAAAACATTTCAAGAAATAATTAAATGGGTACCATTTAATTATTTCTTGAAATGTTTTTTCCTTCATAATGAAATATGAGCAATTTAAAAATAAAAAATTTTAAGTATAGGAGAGCCATGCTTCGGCACGAAAGGGCCGGCTCAACCGGAGTGATACAAAGACCTTACAGAAATCCCACGTGAAACCACACTTGCGTTGTATTTCGATGTGTGAGTGAGGTTACCGGAGGCCCAATTACCTACCTCCCCAATCTCCTCAATCCCCGTATCCCCAACAATTCTCAAATTCTTATTTCTCAAAAGGCCGGTAACGCACTTGTAACACCTCTGAGGTTTCGAGTGTCCATGGGCGGCGCCGATTGCTTACCATCAGGTGATCCGTCTGCTCGTTATTAGCTACCAGCTTATTCTTTAAAAAAAGGACGCAGAAAGCAAACACTGCTAAATAAAAACACGAGGTAATTAGGCTTCTGAATTCCAACCACTTGTAATAATCCATATAAAGAGATGACGACAAAAACGTAAGACATAAAAAGTACTCATAAATAACATTGAGCGAAAGAAACATGCGAAAGCCACATAATTGTATAATTCCTGTTACCAGAGAGCAGAAAATCCGAGACAGCCGAGATTACAACCGTTAACCAACTGATCCCGGGACGGAAGAAAACAGAATGTCTCGCGACTTGGATAATGTTAAATTTATTGCAGCGCTAAAATGTTTACGGATATCGCGCGGAAACGAAACGCCCCGAGGACGGCGAGCTCTACTCACCCTTGTAAACACGTTTTATTGGCTTTATAATATGTTTTACGCGTGACGTTTTACAAACGATCCCCGAGGAGCGTCGAATTATTTTTACGGCACGTACTCGTACACCGCGCGAAAACACCGGAAAATCAGTACACGAGGGATTTTGTAATTACACCTTTTAAACAAACAGTTTTTGTTCCATGATACGCAACGAAAACAGAATGTAGGATTTTGAACATTTTAATTGTACCAGCAACGTTTCAGTGCTTCAAAATATTCACGTAAAGAACTCTTTGTGTGGATGAATGATTAGTTTTTTCGACGATTCGGTCCCTTGCCAGACATGGGTGCTAATTTGTGAAATCACAGAGTGAAATATGTGTTGTATAGAGTGTGGAATGCGGCGCACTGGAACAATTGCACGCCCTAATACCAGTCAACCGCTTGATGAAGGTCCAGCCGCACCCTCCGCGCTTCTCAGTTCCCCTCGCACTCACACTTCCTGTCAGCCGAACGTACGCACAAACTGCTACATTCCTACACGTTTCTCATGGAAAGATCATGACGTGATTGAACTCAGTGAACTCTTCACAAAAATGTGATTCATATTCATGTTTTAAACACATATACCACAGATGGAACATGTTAAGCTTACCGGCAGGAGAAAGTTTAAAAACTAAGTACATTTCCTTCAATGTCATACCTAGTTAGTAACTTACAGTCTGGAAGGCGGCCAACATTTTTCGCATATTATGTGACATTTCTCAATAGTTAGGACCTTATTATAAAAGTAGACGATAGCAGTATACGTGTGTAACTATAGTATCTTTATATTATCACTGAAGTTTTTGGAACAACTCGGAAAAAAGCGTACCAATATTAAAGGTAAAAAGCTGTTTATATAAATGCAAAACAGATCGGCAGCTTGTCAGATCGGCTCAGTGCAGATCCTACTGATCGAATATGGATTTAGAGTCGTCCCCATTTCGTCCGCTCAACGACGCACCCTCCTGCCCTGCAGACGCAGTCGGACAGCCGAAAAATAATCTTTCGACAACTTACACAACCGCGTCAAATGTTATTGGCATTTTGTTATTGGTAAATATTACTTAATATGCATTTTTATCCTAAAAATCAACGATTGTTTAAATAGTTATGCTTTTCCTCATCAGTTATTAATTACCTACACCATATTAGAACACACTCCCCAAAGATATAATATAAGAACTTTTAAGAGCCCCATAGGTACTTTAAAATTAAGTTTTTGTGATGTTAGTCATATGACTCGGGTAGAGAACCGCAGAATAAATATTCAAGACACAAAGAAGGTAATTTTAACAACGTGAAAGGAATCCCGGCGAGTACGAAGACGTCTTGGTCGATTTCCTTATCATTCGATGTACGTATTAGTGTTGAATGCGAATTTCCTTTCAATACGGTACCTTCGTCCCTGGTTGTGGCTGAATCCAATCGGAGGGATATTAAAACTTTCCGCCCGCTGTGCTCCAGCCCTTTGTACAGGAGAGTCGAACTCGACTCGTAACCGTCGACCGATCTCCTCGACATCTTAAAAATTTTCTAATTTGACTTTCCAGATATATCTTTACTTACCTACAAACATATTATTAACAGTACGGTATACATGGCATGATTTCAATTTACTAAGATACGTTTACGAATTGACATCATCTAATACTTAGTAGGTCAATTCTAACTAAGTCAATATTTGAACATTTTGCTTGATTTGACACGAACAATATTTTATTTAAAAACATCATGGTAAATGAATTAGGAATTCCCAAGACACAACGACTAACACGACTTCGTCTGCGTAGACTTTTTTAAACTGTAAGTATATAGCCTGAAAATAATATTATATTGAATACTCTAAAACAAATGTTAACAAAAAAGGAGGTTAAATTTTATGAGAAAGATTTTTTTATTATTTTTCTTAATTTGGCGCAGTGAGGCAAATGTGTTCCTTATTCAGCCTGCAGCGCATAAATAATTAAGAAAGCGTTCGACGCAGCCCGCCCCGACTTTTCCCCACTGAGTACTAATTAGAAGTTTTTATTCGTTTCTAAAATTTATAAATACATACACAAAATAGCCAAAACTGCCTACAGCTATACCTACTACTTAAATGTTTTACATTTTACAAACAGATTTCTTTTTAATGTGTGATTTAATTGGACTTCTCTTCTTCTAGAAGAAAACTACAAATGTTCATTGTTCTGATTGGTCTTGATATTTTCAAGTAATGTTATTGTAATTCCTTTCAAACACTCTTGCACTCCCCAGATAACAAGTAAGTTTTTGAAGTGAATGATTAGTTTTCACAGAATAGTCGCTTTGCTTTTAGAACTATCTCAAATCCAGACGTTGCACACATTAACTAGTTTTGCGAGAACGAAGTCTGCCTCTTAATTTGTATTCGGCCCTCG